ACGGCCATACTGAGAAATGCCATCAACACAGTGGGAATGATCAGAACAATTGTGTAGAACAGAGTCTTCCTCCTGAAAATTTGCTAAAATATCAATATACTTGGCGTCATTAATTTCGTTCTCTATTATACTTATCATTTTATAGATTATGTGGCGCTGTTCGGCTTGGTGGGGGTGGGAACACTTTACTACTTTGCTGGTTCCTTCAGTTTCTTTAACTTGGGTGTGAACTGTGAACAACTAGGGTGTGAACTGTGAACTCTGGTAAACTTACGAAATGGTATGAGCTTCGTTATGCATGATCCACAAAATGGTTTGTACACCCTGTGGGCCATCTTATAGTCTCATGGGGGTTTACAGGTCTCCACGTAGATGGGAACCAGTGAGTTGCCCCTTCTAACCCGAACAGCGCCACTTTTATGTGCTCTTTCTACTTTGTTTTTATCATTTTTCACTTATGCCTTTATTTCTCGTTCTATATTTGAATGAATGTCAAAAAGTTCAGTAGCGGTAATGGTGTTTCCTTTCTTACCTGATTCTCACTTGAAATTCGATCCGACTGCGTTTGTTCACCAAAGATGCCGGTGCATCCATCAGATCCCATATAGAAGATGGTGCGTATTCGGACAGATCAACCCATTCGGCTTGTTCAAATTCAAGTTTGATTTCGCTTTCGTTATACTAAAGCAGTACTGCTGAAGTGTGCTAGACGTTATTTACATCGCAGTCCAGGCTGGTCCTACGGGCGTGGTCAGGCCCAACATTGCGCCTTTCTACCTCATTCCTACTCATCACCGTCTTGGTTAGTGGCGCACCAACAGTGGTAGGCTACTCCTCCCATATAACCAGCCTGGACTGCGCGTTCAGCAGTCGATGTGATAGTAAATACCCACCGTCCACGACCCGAATACCAGTGTGCATACCTGCTCGTCGAATGGGAAAAATTCCACGTCTGGAATAAAGCGGTTAGAGCAACATGTAACTGAGATCATCTACAGTCATGATCAAAACGCGATAGGGCGTGACGGGGAGCGAACTAGAGCGCAGCCTTCACCGCCAACTGTCGCGTACACAGGATGGGATCATTGGCTGCTTTGGTACTTGCCGTTCCAGCGCCCCGCTATTTGCATATAGCGCATGTGAAAACTGAGAAAAGAAAAGTCGACAACCGAAACATTTTTCACAGTGAATGTACGACCTCGAATGTCAGCAATCCGAAAATGGGTCTGAAAGGTTTTTCTTGGAAGCAAGTACGATCCCCAATCCGCAGCGACCAAGCGCGATCCCCCTGGTGGAGCTCTCTCACACCCAAGTTGTACTGTGCCCCATGAGAGTTCTTCCTGCCCGACATACCACATCTTACACGCCTACAATTTGAAAAAAATTCTCCCTCCCATTGTGATTACTTAGATTTTACTGGTTTTACTATAGAAGTGCACAAAGCGACCGAGAAAAGAAGAAAACACCAATTCAACCAATACTTCAAACACAATTCTAAAGTGGTCACATGAATTATAGATGATTTTTGGACATACCGATGATACATGAACTTTTGTAGATAGCTGGAGGTACCCAGAGCATATCGCCATGATAGTTTATGACGACATTACACATGAATGACACTTCATAGTTGCCATCAGCGCTGAAATAGTTGATGTGACTAAAGTGAGTGCTTTTTAGACCTAAATGCGTTAGTACTGCTTTACAACTAATAATTCAAGGGTACAGTCCACGCTGCTGGTGTAGGCGGAGCCAGACCTGGTATGCTATCATGCCATCCGTTCGGTGCGCCACCTGTTTCTCCTTTTCATTGACTTTGCTTCCAGGATTTCCTTCAAAGTCCACCCCGTACTGAACAACGATACAAATGAGTACAATGCATAGGGTTCATTATAGAGAATCAGGTGACTCGACTAGTCCTAACACGCGGTCTTTTCGCCTCACACTCGTGCCTGTTAGGGGCGTTTCAGACTCTGATCGACCATACGGTAAGCGGGGTCCAAGATGCCCTAAATTGAAGCTTTTCCAGGCCCTGAACATTGTACACATGTGGCACCGAGAGACGAGTGTAAGGAGGAGAATTAGACGGTGTGTGGCTAGAGAATATACAAAAGATAGAAACTCAGCGTTATATAGCGATGGTAACGAGATTATAAAGGTGGGTCCATCTCACGGAGGCGGAGCTAGCTTATCGCCGCTGGGCGGGTGACACTTTCATCAAGCACATTTGAGTCGTGAAAATGGGACATGCTCTGCGATTGCGGACTTGCTCACAGAAAGTCAGGAGTCAAGAGCTAGACATACAGTGTCAACGGGGACATAGTCCCACATACATATATGCGCTCTCCGGCCACTTGTATGCCAACACCCTTGCTAGAGTATAGGGATACGAAGGTGCAGGTAAATGCTTCACCCTCTTCCCCCCCCCCCCTAACTGCGTTGGCGCCTGCTGTCTTCGGTATAAAAACTCACTTATTAAATAAGACGATGTCAGGTAACCAGACTTTATCTGGTGCAACACGCATCTCTTTGATCTCTCCATAGTTGACAGGATTCCATCTCATTTGAAAATCATGCCATTTCTGAAAAAGAAATGGAATGGCTTGAAAATCGCTTCGGGGTCAACAAGGGACTCACCAGTGTCAGCCAGACGTTTGTGTGCATCACTCTGTATCCTTTTCGTCCTTGAAAATATGTCTTTAAGTTATTAATGATTTTTTTGAAAGCAATCCTTTTTTCGGTTGGGTTGTTTCACAACAGAGTGTTTTCAAGGAGCTTTTCCTTTCCTTTGTTCAATTAACTTTTCTTATCCCAACTTTAACTTTATCCTGGAGAGAAGAGAGGCCGATGGATAACAACGGAAGGCTCCACTAAAAGGTTCCATGAAGCCAAAAAGGGATAAGCACTTACTACGTTAATAAGCAGAACAAGCTGTAGAGCGACTTTGACGATAATCGGCATCGCGCTGAGGTTTCTAACGGGCTGCAAAGAAAACGTACATATTGATCGGTAAGCATTGAAACACTTCTAAAACTCACTTGAATGAGTGAATTGTAGCCACGAAATATATCCACCATAAGACGTTCCTCATCTTCGGATGCGTGCACTAAATTCTTTAACAGAGTCACGCATGTCATTACAATTTTTGTAGGACATTTTTTATCGGGCTAAAAGCACATTCTATGCTCGTGAAGTGGGCGGAGTCGGATCTGCCACTAGGCCACTTTCACTTGTGCCCTTTAGCAAGCATCAGTTCTTGTGCAGTTTCCCAAATGGCCCTGACCCTTCTTATAAATGACCAAGAACCAAATCCGACAGCGCAGGGGTGCGGCGAAGTGATCCTAGTTTCTCGGACACGAAAAAATAGCGCGATGCGCGGCAATTTCCTTGATGATTCACTCGGCATACAGTAGCACTCTCGCAACTAATCATTTGCGTCCTGGTGCGGATATCGCGCACGCGACACTACTTGCAGGCGTTGGCCGCTCTGCCGCAACCTGG